GCATCCCTTGGTTTTGACTTCCCAGGGGCTACAAGAACATCAAGAGGCAGCCCACCGGCCTCAGCAAGGAGGTAAGGGGGGGCACCACGCGCCCCCCAGCATCACCCTGAATGGATGTGGATGTGTGTCCCCCCCCGGGGCTCTATTTCAGTGCGGGTGGGGGTACACACAGGGTGCTCTCCCCATCCCCAGGACCTGGCCGAGGTGTGCAAGCGGGACGGCACGGAGAAGGACGTGGATCGAGTGGTGGGCTTGGGCAGTTCCAGGTATGGAAACGCCCCGTTTCAGGGCAATTAAATACTTTTTAAAAATTTTTTTTAGTCATTTTCATGTTGGATTTTTCCTGTCGGTATTTTAATTTTGTGACTGAACCCTGGCAACATCTCTTCCCCAGCGGCAGCGCCGGCCGGGTGATGCTCTCCAAGGAGGATAAGGAGGTGGCCAAGATGGGGCTCTCCGTCTTCATGGTAGGGCACGCCATAGGCTTAAAAAAAGGACAGAAACAGGCAAAAGCGCTGCCCCACTCGGGGTGTTTGACAAAACAAAGTTGGTGGTTGTAGCGGACAGACCCACACCAGCTCCCCGTGTCAGGTTAATCTGGGGGGTTTTCGTTTAAAAACGTGTTTTGTTTTTTTTTTTCCCAAATTTAACTTTTTTTTCCAAATAAAATTTAATTTTTGAGGGGAGAAAATCCCCTTTCCTTGTAATTTGAAGCTACAGGCTCACAGACTCACTCTGTGGTTTTCCCTCTTCCAACCCCAGCACCAGAAAGTCTCCAGCAGCCCCGAGATGTCCAGCTCCAAGAAGAAGCAGGAGAAGGAGGAGAAGGTGGAGACACAACGGTGAGGACAGGGACCACCCTTTTGGTGGGAAACCACCAGAAACGGCCTTTTTTTGAGGAGGAATATTTGGCAAAACGCTTCTCTGGTTCTGTTTGGCATCGGGCTTGTTCTACATCTGCATGAATTACCCCCAAAACCTCTGCTTTGCCCCCAGAAGAGCTGTTTTTCTTCGCTGGGGGCTTTTCCCTGGCCCAGGAGGGACGCGATGGGTTCCACATGGAGTGGAGGGATGGGAATGAGCTTTCGGAGAAGCTGGCGGGATGCAGGGGGCAGGGTTCCTCATTGCTCAGTCTCTTCCCAGCAGCCCGGAGGGGGGCAAGAAATCCAAAAAGGAGAAAAAGAAGAAGAAAAAGAAGAAACACAAGAAGGAGAAGAAGAAGGAGAAGCATCACAAGAGGGATGATGCTCCATCGTCCTCGGATTCTTCTCCGGACCAGGATGCGAGGTAGCTGGGTTGGGTAAAGGCTGCCCTGGTCATGGGGAGGAGGACCGGGGGGCTCGCAGTGCGTCATCGGTGGAAAATGGGATGAAGGATTTAGAGGAGCCACATGGTCATAGCTGGCATCTCCTGCCTTTCCAAAATCCGTTTTTCATCCCCAAAATGGTCTTGTTGGTGTCC